AGGAAGAATAGAAAGAAATATGTGAAGTTTATAATACAAGTACGCCTGTTCGATGTGGAAGCCATCGTAGATATTTCAACAGTGTAATAAAAATTAGGTGCATAAAATAAATATAAAAAACTCCGTGGTCATGCACATAACCCACAACAGACACCAGTTTTTTTTAGTATTTTTGTAATTTTAAAATAGAATATTGTTCGAAGATATAAATGGTATATTTAAAATTAATATTTAGTATATACAATAATTAAATGACTTGAACAATTTTTTTATGTGTATTTATTTATACTCAATACCTAATATAGAAATAGGTTATAGGTAGGTTTATTCAAATAACAATAGGTACAATTAAATAACATTTACTTGTAAACTCACTTTATTATTTAAGTCAATAAACTAATAAATTAATGAATATTAAAAGTTAAAACTATTTAAATAAAATGAATAATATATGTTATATAATATGTAGACCATAGATCATACGGTCTATATGTAGACATAGATAATATGTATATAATATATATTATATATATACCTATCATAATAATTTACTTCATGTCGTTCATACTAAATTGACAAATTAATAGTAAGAAGGAACTATATGAACCTAACGGTATAAATATTTTTTTTGATAACTCGAAAATGTATAACACTATTCTCAACTTTTCAAGTCACTGGTCATTTGCAATTTTGCAGTATATTTTGAGAATCAGCAAAATATTTAATCAGTAGCTGGTAGCTGATTTAATATCGTTTATTCTGAACTCTGAAGTAATAAGTATGCCAGTACCTATATAATATGTAACTCATATTACATAATATGTAATAAATATTATTATATTATAATAAGTAATGAAACTATGCATACGTATATGATATACGTATGCACTGTATATGTGTAACTTGATCAGCAATTTAATTGTTTGTCAATTCGCCATTTTTTCTCCAACGACATTATTTCAACTGTATTTAAGACTGTAACTAAAAACAATTCGATGATCCAAATAATTTGTGGTTATACCTATGTTATTTGTAATTTAGCTTTATTAGTATTACGTCAAGTACCTACCTACCTTTAGTACCTACGTGAATACGGCCACATAGAAATATGTATAGGTATATGTTAGCAATTTTGCTAATTTCTATGTATTTTAACACGTTTTTGTTTATACATAGGGACTCAGTGGCATCATGAACGTTTTGTCCATAAGTAGGGTAAATATTGAAGCTATCAACCCAAACACGCATAAAATTAAAACCTGTCTATGTATACCTACCTATAATTTTTTTTATTATAAAATAAATACTTATATTTTTTTACAATAATAATTAACATATTTTATGTAGCCTATATAACTTCTTATATAATAATAATACGGCCCAACTTATAGGTACAATATAATATTATATATTTCCTGTTCCCCTATCCCATATAATAGTACATGATGCGTTTTGTTACATATGTGCTGATTCCTAGGATATATAAATCGGTAAAATACTAAAATATATACCTATCGAATAATGCTAATATTTATTAAGAGGATATCGGCGCACTATTAATTGTTTTCTCTCTTTGGCCCACGCACGCACAACATAGACTATAAACGCATTAACGCAGAGTCATTTTTTCTGTTTTTATGTTACCTTAGAGTAACATTACAAAAAAGATAGAGAATAATATTTTTCAGGGAATAACCCATCGATTTTGTATTTCATTGTTATTTGACTTTGTATTAGACTTTAAAAATATACAATAAAATGTTGTAAATTTAAACTATATGTTTAAATTGTTTTGAGATAATATTTAGACAAATCGATAATTCATTCCCTCAAAAGTATTATTCTCTATCTTTTTTGTAATGAGTGATTTTACTCTAAGGTTACTTAAAAACATAGAAAAAAATGATTCTGCGTAAATGCGTTTTGTCTATGTTGCGCGTGGACCAGAGAGAGAAAATAAATAGCGCGCTGACATCCTCTTAACTTGACATTTTAAAATATATTTTATTTGTAATGCTTTACTTGACTTGTAGGTAGCTTATAAATTTATAACACTATAACATAATTATGAACAAATACTCCATAAGTCACAAGACCTAAAAATTCAAAAAAAATTGATATTTTGTGCACGTAATAAGTACCGTCAATCGAGGTGACTTGGAACGATTTTGACATATTTCTTGTTATTCTGAGCTTAAAAAAAATCGCACTGGACTACAAAAAATACATAAATGTTTGCATACGTCTCATGAATAGGATAAGACCTTTCATTTAGTTTTTTGACCAAAACTGAACTTAAAAAAAAGTAAAAAGTACGTGTTCCAAGTCGCATAAATTTTTGGGTGACTTGGAACAGCTATGAAAATTTAATGTGAAATTCAATTCAAGAACGTTAGAGGTGACTTGGAACAACATTTTTATTTTAAAAATTACCACAAGAACATGTTAAATAAATATTAAAAAGAAACAGGTTAACTTTACCTTTTTTTAACAGTAAATTAAATATTTAAATAATAACATGATAAAAACAAAATAAAAATTCTTTCTAAATAGAAAAACATAACTAAATAGTTCTTCAAAATAAACACAAATACATTTGAAATATCATCGAGGGCCTGTTAAAGTGTTTCGTCACTGTCATTTATATATGTCCGGCTACCCGGTTTACGCTCGTATTTGTTTGGCATTTTTGGTGTTCCAAGTCACCCTCAATTTTCTTCTGTAAAATAAAACTTAAGTTATAAAATTAGAAAAAAATGTTTAAGGACTTATAACTACAAAAGTCTGCTTTTGAAGTGTCCTTTAATGTATAAAAAATATACAAATCTTTAAATTTGACTTCAATCACCAACATTTGAAGCACTTTTGAGAGCAATGATAAAATCGTTGTTATCATAAGAAATGTTTGGTTATTTTTTTCGGTGGTAATGATAAGACCAACCACATGGTTGATGATAACATTTATTATCACAAATATTGTAAATTTAATTTAAATGCAGGCAGATTTAAATTATATCATTTTGTTTCATAGATAACCTGATATGTTTAAAAAAAAACCGGGGTGTTTCATTTCACCTCAAAGTTCCAAGTCACCTCGATTGACGGTACCTACCTAATAGATATAATCCGTTATAGGCAACGTGGATCATCAGATATGTACGATCTACGAACTCCCATATAATGAGGTTTAAAACTGAATATAGTATAAACATGAATCTAGGACAAAATATCCAAGGAAACAATATCCTGTACTAAAATATCCAAGGTTAAAATATCCAACGGATAAAATATCCAGGGATAAAATAATCAATATATAGGACAAAATATCCAAATAAAAAAAAATCATAAAAATGTTTTATTAATACTCATATAATTTTTTTATTTAAATTCATTTTATTGTTAATTTTTGAATCACGTTTTAATTTCATTTAATATCAATAATACTTTATAATACAGTAATAAAATAATAATAAAAATAATATGTTGCGTTATATATAATAATTATATCTTTAGTTATAGGAATTGTGTATTACACTATATCATCTAAAAGTTTTTAATAATATTTAAATAAATATAGTCAGTTCAGATAAAATGTGTTTATAAAAAAGTTGTTTAAAAAGAGGTAATAAATTATCGTATTATATTTGCTATTGCAATTAAAAAAATATCTAATTCTTTTTCACCATTAATATATTCAAGACAAAGGAGCTTAAGCTTTTCTTGCATCCTTACATATTTTGGTTTTTTTCGAGGTGGATTCAATGTCCCCAACTCTCTTTGTGCAATTTTCGTTTCGTCGGCGACTATCTCCATGCGCATTTTTTTATTATAGTGTCCAAATACTTGGATGGTTATGTGTTACCTAGAAATAATGTAGATTACCTTCGTGGGCCAGGATAAATTTGCAACTTCTCTGGCAAATACTTCAGCTGGTTTTATTTCATTCGTTCTAATGGTTTTTAGCATAATATCTAAACATTTTGTGACATCTACATCATTCTGATTACTTTTACATACCATCAATTAATGTTGTTTTGTTATACTTGGGTTGCTGTAATCTAATGTGGTTTGACAAATAGCCCGACATTTTAAGCTATTTGACTTCACACATCGCCATGATATTATTTCTTTTCCTTTATATTTTATAACGTACATATAGCCATTTAAACATGCCTTTAATCCCCTTTTATTTGAATTAATTAATTCCATATTACAAAATAAATTAAATGAAATATTAACTAGTATATGACTTAACACTAACACACTATATTATATTATTATACAACGTAAAATATTATTTTTACTATTATTATCTTATTACTATATTACAAAGTATTATCAATGTTAAATGTGATTTAAAAGTGAACAATGTATCTAAAGAAAAAAGGGGGAAATTTTTTTTTTTTATTTGGATATTTTGTCCCATATATTGATTATTTTATCCCTGGATATTTTATCCGTTGGATGTTTTAACCTTGGATATTTTAGTACAGAATATTTTTTCCTTGGATATTTTGTCCCAATACCGGTCGGCGGTCTTGAGGCACGTTAAAGATTTTTGCAATTCATAGATGTTTCTAATGAACAAACTGACAATCATATTATTTCTGCTGTTTTTAATTGTTTTCAAAATGTAAGTATTAATATTAAGACATTAAATATCGTTGCTCAATCTTATGATGGTGCCAGCGTAATGTCTGGACACCTTGGAGGTGTCCAGTCAAAAATTAAACAACAATTTCCATGTGCCATAAACACATTACACACACTGTATGGCACACAGATTAAATTTGATTGTTGTGGATATGTGTAAAGGAATAAAGGTATTAATTAGTTTAAGATTAATCAAACAATAATTTACTGTAGTATTTTTTACAGAATGCCTATACGGCTATACCTGTAGTACCTGTAGTAAAATAATAAAATTATTATCATATTATAATTATATAATCTGTATTAATTTTTATAGAGAGCTAGAAGTATTTTTAATACTTTAGAAAATGGTCTATGTTCATTTTTCTCGACCATCCAACAATGCTAAACTCATAATGAAGTTCAATCTAAACCAGTGCCGGATAAACCGAAGGTGCAAGCGGTGCATTGCACTATGGGGCAGTGGGGCCTCGACTCTTTGAAATATTTGGGGTCCCCGATATTATGGATATCGAGTACTATAAAATAAAATTGGTACTTGGTAAAATGTATATTTTTTTTTCAAATGGTGTATTTAATTAATTTTACTTTGAAAGTATATTTAATTTATTCCCATTATAGTGGTGAATTATAATTGTGAATATTTGATTGATTAATTTGTATATTTTATTTTTCATACACATTATCGTGTTCGCCGATACACAATAACGTAAACATCTACGCCGTATTGCATTACGCGAAGTGAGACTGAATCCAAAAATAGATGTATTGAACATTTTCTAATATATAGTACCTATATTTTATAACATTTTTAAATTAGGGCCACCAACATTTTTTTTGCACCGGGGCCCCAAGAGTTCAAGATCCGTCACTGATCTAAACTAGGTTTAAAAAAAGGAAATGTTCTCAGGATATGATGCGATACAAGATGGGTACCTATGTCGCTATAAAAATTGCGAATCGATGATAAAAAATTACTCATCAATATTAGAATTTTTAAAGAATGAAGTTGAAGCACAAATGGACTAAGATGCCATTGAAGCTATCGGTAATTGAAAAAAGATTATGTAATGTAATTATAATTTGATACATTATTTTTAAGTATTTTAACTGTTGAAATTTTTTCTTAATTATAATTTTAGGTATTCTCGGTCAAATATAAGACTGTGCTTTTTTTATTGGGGTTACTCTATTAAAAGACATTCTTGGTATTATTAATATAATAAGTGTCACATTACAATCTAAAAATGCCACTTTAGGAAAAGCAAAAAGCATTATCAATGGAAGTATACAAAGTATTGAAAAATTACGTTCTGCAGACATTGAATTTTCTACATTTTGGCAAAAAATTACATCTTTAGCTGAAGAGAATGATATAACCCTTGAAATACCACTCATAGGTAAATATTTGATTAACTGTAAATCTTTGTGAAATCTAAAGGTTTTTCTTAAATAAGTTTTAACTTTTTGTGTGAAATGCATTTCATAGACATTCGTATGTAATAATTATTAATCAACAATACCATTAAAACAAAATTCATGTTCACAACACTCAACATTTAAATACATATAACAATAATTTAATTTAAAGTTACTATTAAAAAAATGTATTTAATGATTAGGAAGAAAACGGATAAGAACTCAACCGAAATCTTTGAACAATTTTTACTTACAATTAACAACTGGAGAAGAAAATGGACCAAATATTACACAATCTGTTGAAGACTATTGGAGACAAACTTTATACTATCCAATAATTGATTTTATAATAGTTAATTTATAATATAGATTCTCTGAAGAAAGTTTATCTATGGCTTGCTCCATTGATAACTTTATGAATATGAACTACGAAGGAAGCTTAGAATTCATAAATAACTATAAAGTAAAATTTATATAATATTAAATACAACTCAATATTCAGTTCAATTTTTTTTTTTTAGTATGGTAGTTTAAGTGACTATAACTTTAATATTTTTTTGATTTTACTGTTTAATTTTCAGAATGTGACAAACGTTTCAATTGATTTATTAAAAGCTGAAATGATGGTTTTCAAAAACTGTTTGCCACCAGATTTTAATTTTGATGACATTAAAGGAAAAATACATAAAGAAGCTTTTCCTAACTTGTATAAGCTACTTCAAATTGCAATTACAATCCCAGTAAGTTCTGCAACTTGTGAACGTAGTTTTTCTAGTATGAGACGTATCAAAAATTGGCTAAGAACAAGTATGTTGCAGCAGCGCTTTAGTGATTTGTCAATTTTAAATATTGAGAGGGATTTATCAAATAAAATACAAACGGAAACAGTGTTAGATAGATTTAACACAAAAACCAGGAAAATTGTTTTAAAATAATAGATTATAATATGTTATCTAAATAGTTGTTATTAGTTATTGTAATTAATTATTAATTATAATGTTTTTAGTGATTGTTTATTAATATTAATCAATATGAAAATATCAAATGTGTTATCATATAAATTAATATATGAAATTGAGTTATAAAAGCATGTTGTGCTTTGAAATTGTGTGTTGGGGTTACCAAGGTATACTAAATTTTAGCACCCCTTAAATTACAGGTCTAGTTGCGCCTATGGATGTACATCGATGTAATCGCATATAATTCGCTTGTAATACGCGCATCTCCCATATGTATATATTTAACGGGGCGTTTGAAAAGCGTTTTCCGTTAATAATTATTAAATCATAGGGGAAAATTAAATTATACATGTATACATACGCGTACGGTCGGTCGGTCGCCGGCGTAATTTCTAAACGCGATTGCGAGGCGAACGAACCTATTTCGGGGGGGAAAGCGCGTATAAACGGCTTTAAAAAGAAGTCGACTACACGATTCGGGCACAAATGAAGTGCGAATAGACGAAACAGTGTGAGAAAAGGAAAAAATCGGCAAAAAAGTCCGGTCGGGAGTGTATTTTTCGATCGACATTACGACCGCTTCGGACGGCGCACGAATATAAACCGCACACCGGCGGCTTCGAATTAAGTATGAAAAAAGGGCGAAAAGGGTCGAAATCGTGTAAAAACAGCTAATTTTCCGAAAATTTCAAATGATAGGAAAAGAGGTGATGACGAAAAACGTTTTTAAACCGACCGCCGCCGCTGCGAAGGTACGCGATTGGTCGCGCTATAAGGAATCGACGGGACATGGCCGGCGGGCTGGGGAAACGGAGCGGTGCTTCATTTTTTATGCCTCGGTTTCACCATAGAACAATGGTTTCACTATAGCACGAGCGCTTCCCCGCAGTAAGGCATTTGACTGGCTTATCAAATAATAACGTTAACATAGAATTAAAAAAAATATAAATATATGTAAAATTCAGAATTTTATAATTTTGATACATAGAAATGTATTATTTGTAATAGTTTGTATTGTATAATTTTTAGTTTCTTTAAGCCCCGTTCACACGATCAAATAATTTGTCAAATATTTGATGTATGTCAAACTTCAAATATTTTAGAAATGGTTCTAAAATATTTGGAGTTTGACGAATGAACAGGGCTTTAGACCAGCGGTTCTCAAACTTTTTAAATTTGCGTACCACCAGCTATACCGTTTCCCAGTTACAAAAATTTCCGGAAACTCACTGTTCTCACAAGTTATGGCATATCAAAGTTGCAGCGATTACGCGTGTATCGGCACTCGTCGCTACGCTCCTCGGCGCCTTCGCTCCGCTCTGCAAATCGAAAATATCCCCCTATTTGCTGTGTGAACTACCTCAGGTAAACCTCGGTTTTCCTCAATATTGTTTCTAAGTATATTTATTCCCAGCGTGGTCACTCGCTCGTCCATTCAAAAGTACCTATATTTTTTAATATTGACAACTTTGAATTGCCATAACTTTTGAAGTTTCCGGAAATTTTTTCAAATACTTGAATTAAGCTTAAAAAACCAATTTTATTATAATTATTATTTTTAGATAGGATCAGAAAAAATGTAATTGTTGTCGCAGATTAACTCTATGATAACGTTATTATATTATGATAAGCCAGCCAAATGCCTTACTGCGGGGAAGCGCTCGTACTATAGCCTGCGTTTTTCGTTCCACGGGTTGCTTGTAGACAGCCGTTCTCGTAGTCAGCTGTTCTTCATTTTATTTTCTCATAAAAATAATAATACACGGATACCTATTATAGTAATTTATGACGATGACAACCTAACAATTTTTTTTTATAAACAGTTTTTTGAGAAGCGATTTTGTGCTTATAAAATATAATTTCTGACAGTCGTTTAAATTTATTTTTGCGATCGTGGTGAAACAAATAACGCACTTGGATTCATTGTACGATTTTGAAAAACTAACAAATATGTCGCCAGAAGTAAAAAAGCGCGTGCGGGCTCTAAAAAGACTAATTTTAGCCGAGTATGAAATTAAATTGAGATTCGATGCTGAAGTTCATCTTCTTAAATTGAAATACCAAAAAGTGTACGAGCCATATATTAACAAGCAAAGTGATATAATTCAAGGAAACTACGAGCCTACCAAAGGCGAATACAGTAGTTCTGATGAAGATGATGAACTAGGGAAAATAGGACTTGAATCAAAAGAGGCAAGTAGACAAGAACCGAAAGGAATACCGGACTTTTGGCTTAATTACATGGAGAACTCGTTCAAATTCAAAAGTTACATACTACCACATGACGTGCAAATCATCAGACATTTGTCAGATATCAGATGTAATCGATCGGAAGAGTATATAGGATTTACTTTGGAATTTCATTTCACACCTAACGAATGGTTCACTAATAATGTGCTGACCTTGAAGTTCGAGGAGTACCCTCTAGACAATATTTTTCATATTGTTAGATGTTACGGTATGACATACGACATTCAGTACAAACTTACTGGCTGTGAGATTAATTGGAATGAGGGGAAAAATGTGACACAGAAAATCAAAAATGTAACACTTGAAGGCACCTAAGTTCCTTTCAACAAAACCGTTGAATATCCATCATTCTTCAATTTATTTAATGATACATATAATTTGACGAATCCCGATAGATGTTATTATCATATATTTTTCCAACTATATAAACGCAAATGCAATTGGTTAGTTAATGACGCATTTTTGGAATTTTATTTAAAACACGAGGACAGCATAAAATTATTATTTGATAAGATGAAAATGTTTGATTTTTCTGATGAATACGAGACGTGTGAGTCGTATATTGAGACGGACGAAGAAGATGAGATGAATCACTCACAGATGAAATAATAATAACAATACTGGTGTACCTACATAACATTTTTTTATATATTATATTATTATAATATGAAGTGTTCTCTAAAATATTATGTCAATCCTCAGGTCATGTGATCGCTTATAATTGGTTGGCAATTTAATTATTTTGTCATTTAATTCTAATAAATATTTTATTATTATAATATGAAGTGTTCTCTAAAATATTATGTCAATCCTAAGGTCATGTGATCGCTTATAATTGGTTGGCAATTTAATTATTTTGTCATTTAATTCGACCCAATGCACTAGCAACATAATAGTGCATTTTTAAAATAGTGACATACTGAAATCTACAAACGTCCACAAAAAGATCTGTTATGAGATATCAGCTCTAATTATTGTAATCTGTATTGATTTTTTTTTTTCATTTGGAAAATTTCAAACCTGTATACTTTGTTTACCACATTAAGTAAAAAATATGACCTAGAGAAACCAGGAGAAATACGGTCTGGGAGTATACTTTCCAGATTTCCAAGGTAAGCGACAATATGATGCAGTCCTGAGTCCACGAATATTTTGAATTTCCAGGATTATATAAAAGGCCCAACACAATAATATGGTCTGAATAGGTAATATTTTATTCCGGATTTTTACTGTCCGGGAATATTCGGCCTCTTGTTATTATTCTTGGTCCTTTGAACGTACTTTAATGTACGTAATTTATATTATACCAGATAGCAAAGAATTATTTTTTTTATGTTTTAAAAATATCATTCTTGTAACAATATGATTAGGAAAATGTTTTTTTGAACCTATTTTTTGATTTGAAAAATAATCATATGATGTCTTATTAATATTTTTTGGCCACAAGAGTTACATTAATCCAGCGCGACGGTAGTGGCTCAAAGCTAAGTAAAAAAAGGTGGGTAAGTGGATGTCACTCTGCTGTACAGTAGGTTACAAGTGGGTCACTGTATAATGGATGCTATTAAATTTGAATTCAATGATACAATATCATTGTATAAGAAAAACGATTCTGAGCGAAGACGGTATGTCAGTCTAGGTTTAAGACATATTATATACATATCTATGGTATTAAAAAGTACCCACGAATAGTATTATACACTCACAACAAAATAACTAAAATAGGTATGCTAGGTTTTTTAATATGTAATTTCGTCCCAAATTTGAACTTAAAATGTCTGTAAAAAGTAACTGTGCTCATATATTTTTTAGATTTTTTGGCTACAGTATGAACTATTTATGAGAATCTTTTTTTTAAATTTTCAATCCTTAGCTATAAAAACTGAACATTTTATAATTTATTAATTACGACGATTGACAATTTTCGAGATTATGATAAATTTTGTCAAAATGCGATCTTTAAATGCTTATACAAAAAAATTGTGCCTATGTATTTTTAATATTTTTCAATTGCTATTGTAACAATATATCAGGAGCCTTGTATTAATTTTTTACACTTTTTGGCTCAACAGATAAAACTTTATTGATATTTATAGAAAATAAAAAAAAATTGAAAACTGAAAATGTCCGTAAACGGCTCAAAAAGAGTCAAAATATTTTCAAAATTGTATGGTGTATAGGAAATGCTAATATAAACATTCAGTGAAATTTTCATGTATCTACAGTAATTCGTTTTTGAATTACAACAAAATAAGGAAATCGCCACATGAGAAATCGAGTGAATATCAAATGTTGTAAAAATTTGAATTTCAAACGCTCATAAAAATTTAATTTGACTTTCTTATAGAATTTGTTTTTTTTGATAAATGTAGGAAATCTTATAAGGAATCTTGTATTACATTTTCATATCTTAGATTTAAAAAAAAAATTTTTATGAATTTCTAACTCGAAATAATTTGCAAATTTTCGTGATTTTTCCATATTTTGTCATTTTTTGAACTTTAAATGATTAAAAAAAAAAACTGTGTCTAACGATTTTTAATATTTTTCATCTGTCTTTGAAACAATATAGTAGGAGCCTTGTATTAAATTTTCAAGTAATTTTACTCAACAAATAAATTTTTATTGATATTCATAAAAAAAAACTAATAAAATTGGAAACTGAAAATGTCCCTAAACAGTTCAAAATAAATCAAAATATTTTGAAAATGTTATCGTGTATAGAAAATTATATCGTATTATAATTGGCATTTGCTATTGCAATTAAAAAAATATCTAATTCTTTTTCACCATTAATATATTCAAGACAAAGGACCTTAAGTTTTTCTTGCATCCTTACATATTTTTTGTTTTTTTCGAGGTGGATTCAATGTCCCCAACTCTCTTTGTGCAATTTTCGTTTCGTCGGCGGCTATCTCCATGCGCATTTTTTTTTATTATAGTGTCCAAATACTTGGATGATTATGTGTTACCTAGAAATAATGTAGATTTCTTTCGCGGGCCAGGATAAATTTGCAACTTCTCTGGCAAATACTTCAGCTGGTTTTATTTCATTCGTTCTAATGGTTTTAGCATAATATCTAAACATTTTGTGACATCTACATCATTCTGATTACTTTTACATACCATCAAATGTTGTTTTGTTATACATGGGTTGCTGTAATCTAATGTGGTTTGACAAATAGCCCGACATTTTAAGCTATTTGACTTCACACGTCATCGCCATGATATTATTTCTTTTCCTTTATATTTTATAACGTACATATAGCCATAGGCGCAAATAGGGGGGAGCTTAGGGGGTATTAGCACCCCCAATTTTAAAATTAGCACCATCTAATAAATATGTGTTTATGTATCAAAACTTCTCTTTACAAAAAAAAAACACCAAAAACTGTTTGTCATCAGACATGAGGGTATCAGAGTATAATGAATGAAACAATGAACTCGACAATTGTAATTTTATCGAATTCAAATCTATTTAGAATATAAATCATTATTTTCCAATGTTTCTACTAAGCCCGGTCGTTGTGGTCGGTTATATTATTATCAGTGTTATCACGTTCAGCAGCGACTCAGCTCTACGACAATTTATAGTATCGCGAGTATTTACTAATAGAAATATTCCCGTGCCCACATCTAATTCGGACAAAAACCTAATTACGATATACGAATAACTTGTCAGTTGGTGTTCACTGGAGTTCCAAGTTTCCGACAGTCTGTGTGATTGTGTATGCCGAATGATATAATATAGTAGGTACAGATATAACTGACTTTTGGAATAACTTTTGTTCTAATCAATATTTAGGTATAATGTTTTTTTATAATTTTAACAATTTTTGTCACACATTTAAGTAGCTTCATTTTTTTTTTTTTGTCAAGTCTGTCTGTTACACGTCTTGTACACTAATATTTATTTGTCATATTTTTTGAATAAAATATAAATAATTTGTTTTAAATTTTTAATAAATTAAAATTTACTATTGTATTAATTTTTATAAAGTGTACCTAATGCACTATAACTATTCAATGTTAAATTGTCATAAAACCATTTTTTTCTCAAAAAAGTCATAAGTGCCTCATAGGTATAATTTAATTTAAATATCCAGGAAATGCAGAGCTTAAGCACCCTCAGTTTTTATGTTGAAATTGCGCCTATGCATATAGCCATTTAAACATGCCTTTAATCCCCCTTTATTTGAATTAATTAATTCCATATTACAAAATAAATTAAATGAAATATTAACTATATGACTTAACACTAACACACTAAATATTATAAAAGCCACACTGACGCACTGTACAAAATAATCCTACAATAGTCACCGGTAAACTGCAATAATAACTATCAATACTTCGCTTCTACATCGAAGACAGCAGATAATTGTAGATAAAATTGTCGTCTTAGTCTAATTTATTATGTCCACTACGATATAGATTACAGATATGATATACGTAATTGCAATGTAACACCGATAACTAAAGCCTCGTTATTATAATATAGATATTATATTATTATACAACGTAAAATATTATTTTTACTATTATTATCTTATTACTATATTACAAAGTATTATCAACAGTGGTTGACTTGGGGGGGGGGGGGCGGGGGACTGAGTACCTAAACTAATTTTTAGGATACGCTAGCGTACCCCTACTTTTTTTTTTAAATGGGAACGCAAGGGACGGGTTGTTACTTAAGCTTACCTAATATCTTAAAATTGCTCAATTTAAATTAGTGTGTTAAATATTACAAAATTTTCTATTATTTACAAATTGTATTTAAAATTTATCAATTATAAAATATAAATATTACTAGCTGATCCCGTGCACTTCGTTTCCCGTTAAATGTACCAACTCTATATGACTCAAACATTGTTCAATGCGTTATTTAATATTCGGTGTATGATGTTCTAGATTTATCTTAACGGCTATCTCCCAATATGCGGTCTACCACAAAAATATGCGGTCTACCAAAATGGAATTGGTCTACAATAATAGTACTGAATACTACTGATACCAAATAATATTGAACAAAATTGAAACAAATATTGATTAATTAAGAAATTCATTTATAAATCTTATACTATAAAAAAAAATTTCATTCTAATAGTACATGGGTACTATTATCTATATTTTGGATTATCCACAAAGCATATCTTATCATATCTCTAAGGAAAGCATTAAAAATATCATCAGTTATATTTAATCCCCGCCACCAATACTCGGTTAAGTACCTCTCTAAGAGGTCTTCATTAGTACCACACATGTTCTCCGACCATAATTGCGATAAGTGTCTTCTTCATCTTCTTCTTGTCTAGGTATAAATGCAGCTTTTAAATCGGCAAGTCGAAAGCGTCCTTTATTATTTCCCGTGCACCCCGCAACAAACATTCGTCAATTTGAACGATCAGACCAGGACCTCCAAAAGGTTGCCTTTTGTCGAATAGTCTTACAGGGATGATGTCACTATACAGAGATTCATCCAGTCACAAATAGTATTATTGGATCTCCCCGTAAATTGTATTATTTGAACAAGTCGATTGTCCGTTATCCAGAAGTACACAATCTCCGTGATTTCACCGAGACTTAATCCACTATTTTTTCGAAAATTTGAGTCATATAAATTGGGAGATAATAAATATAAATGATGAGGGATTCCTAGCTATAGGTAGGAAGAACATATAACATTGGCAGACCGCATACTATACTCATATTTATAGTTAAGTAGTACACAAAACGGAGGTAGACCGCATATTGGGAGATAGCCTAGGATTTATAGGTAGGTGGAATTAAGTAAAAACGTCAAACTTGGTATAACTTTGGTACTTTTTGAGTTAAATCATACACTTAAGTACAAACAGCACGGGGTCCGCGATCTACCGCAGGTAAATTACCTATCTGATAATGTACTGCTGCAATTCATAATTTTTATTCCGGGCAACAGAAAAGTTAAGATGGCTGATTAGGATTATCAGATAGGTAATTTACCTGCGGTAGATCGCGGACCCCGTGCTGTTTGTACGTAAGTGTATGATTTAACTCAAAAAGTACCAAAGTTATACCAAGTTTGACGTTTTTACTTAATTCCACCTACCTATAAATCCTAACCTAACCTAATCGTACTAAAATCCGATGAATAAAAAAAACCGAATTTAACCCTTTTTAAATTAGCGTATCTTCTTCCCATAGGTCTAATCTACACACCGTCATTCATTTATATATAAGATATATTTACAAAAAATAATAATACAAATCAACAAACATGCCCGATTAACCAATACCAACCAATATAATATAATACACCATAGAGTAAATAAAGACAATGGTATCGAGTTCAAATCCCAGACATCAATAAATAGTTTTTGCAGTTTTTCTAATTATTTGGTTGACTTTTTAACATCTTAAAAAAAATTTGAGACAAATCGGACCAGCCGTTCTCAACTGATGCAATTTCGAATTTTTTGTCTCCATTTTTATATATATAGATAATTGGATTGATATTAGATATTTCTAATATGTAATAATTGATAAGTACGTAGGTTATAATGATAACAAATTATTAAACGTTTTAACGTTTTGTATATTTTTAGTAAAAATTACCTTAAGTTACACCTAATAAATTATGATATTATTTAATATTTTGTACGTTATAATTCATTGATCCGTGTTTCTTAATCTTTTATTATGCTTCTTGAGGGATCATAAAGAGAGTGTGGGTTGACCCCCCACTACCATGTTCATATGAGTTAAAATGGTAGGTACGCTACTTTTTTCCCAAGTCAACCACTGATTATCAATGTTAAATGTGATTTAAAAATGAACAATGTATCTAAAGAAAAAAAGGGGGAAAATTTTTTTTTTATTTGGATATTTTGTCCCATATATTGATTATTTTATCTCTGGATATTTTAACCTTGGATATTTTAGTACAGGATATTTTTTCCTTGGATATTTTGTCCCAATACCTATAAATATATAGGCATTTCGAATTACTAGAATGATAGTCGATAACATAATTTATAAAATATTTAAAAATAAAGGCATATACCTAAGGGGTATACCTACGAGTAAGTGAAAATAAAACTGTTCAATAAATATCGTAAAAAATGTCTACCACTCGATATACTTGACTGCAACTACTGGAAAATAAATAAAAATCGTGTAGGTATTATATTAGGTGCAGTGTTAAAACATTTAAACATCTAATACATGGGAGGGTGCAGCGTGTTCAAAAGGGGGAACGAGAGGCTGGATCGAACAAAAACAGAAGGGGAACTATATATGAGGACGCCCAACCCACTTGGCCAATCAGGAGCACAAGCCAATCCCTTCACCGGTGGGCTGTGAAATGTGTGAATGATGAAAAAATAGTACTACGGCGACGTTAAAAATAAAACGATTTTAGTGACGGGAGAAAACGGGATGACAGAGAAATAGACCAGTATTGGTGAAAGGTTCGCGAGTTTCGGTGTTGTTTTTTCGGCACCTTTAAAAATCTGTCCTGGTTAAATATACTGTATAGCCACGCGCGTGTTGACAGGGTGACATTCGTTTGTTTTGCTTTAAGTTATCTGTTAATTTTTTTTTTTCGGCAATAAAAAAATCATCGTCCGGATTTCACGGTGGCCAATGTACAATAATTGTCCTGTAAATCAGTCGCGGACGTTTTACACTTTTGTATATACTTGTTTTCCCATAGTGATGAATATCATTTTTTAAAATATTTTTTTGCCACCGAATAGACGGTTGATAAACTTTTCATAAAAGTGAGAAAAAAATATCGGTGTTGACAAAATAAGTGTTTAAGGGGTGGTCAGCATGCACCCGTTCTATAATACGTATGGCAGTGGTGGGAACGTTGAACACCTGTATGATGACAATTGGGTAGCGCCACCATCCAATACACCGATGAAGGATATCGAAGGTAGGCGCCAAACTATATTATGTTTTTTATGCTTTTTTTATTTTAAGATCCTACATTGGTTGGTACTTATTTAGAACATTGCATTGTTTACTATACTTACTAATTTTGTACAGATTCTGAAAATATACCAAATGAGCTTTGGCTAGACCAAATAATATACGTTAGGTATTGTATTTTATTTATTTTTATTAAACGAAATAGCAATTCCGCATATTTTATATAGTGTCTATTTAAGCATATAAAATCAAAAATTTTAAATTATTAAAATAATATTAACTTCAGTAACTGTATAATAAAATATACAAACAATTTTTGTTTACTTTCTGTAATTATTAAAAAAATGTGAATTCTGAAAATAAAATAAATTGTCAAATTTATATGACTTATATGACTTAATATGACTAATTTATATGTAGGTAGTTATCATAATATTGATTAAAAAATTTAATTTTTAAAATATATTAGGTTTAGCTGCAGGAAGCATATCATATGCGATATACCTACCTACATATAACTTTTTAATATAGGGATAATTTAAAACCTAGATAACGTACAAATTTAATAAATTTCTTATTTATATTTTAAATATTGACTTTTTTACGATAATACATTATGATAATTATTGGAAATTGTATTATGTTTATATTATAATATATATAGGTATCGATATAAATTACTAATAAATAATAATAAATGCCTATGCAATATTATCATTCATTTAGTATATAGGTACGGTCCGGGTTATTATTTATTAATGTATATTGTAAAGTGTAAGCTACACATCCAAATTAGTTATAGGCAGCCTATAATATTTTAGCTATTGGGTATACACTATATTATATATTTATCTATTATAATTATTTTACTTTAATATATATAATATAATATTAAAAAAAGTTCGAGTATCATTAGTTAATAGCTATATACACTATATGAGGTAGGTATATAGTAAATGCATAATGATCGATATAAATATTGTAGAAACTTACACATTTCCGACGACATGTCCATATAATTATATTGTGTATAATAGCCATTATGTGTATTATAATATATAGGTACCTACTGCATAATAAAAAAAAAATTGTTTAATTTTAAAATGTTTCTATATATTTGCCTCCGCCTAATAATCTCTGCCCCTTGGTATGTAACCAACATCTCATCACCAACAAACATATTCTCCATAAAGACCTGAATCTACCAACCCTCAACGATCTGGCCAAATCTCATTACACCAAATTCTATTAAAACCTATATCTACCAGCACTCCAATCTATTAACGATTAACGAGATCTATTTATCTGCCACTCTTATACCCAGAAGGATAATAATAAAAAAAGAAAAAATTTAATTTACACAGTTTTCTTTTTACCAAGAACATTGTATAGGTACTTAAAATTTCAACTATCTCAATCTCGATGTACCTAAATATACTTTTTGCTATATTACCTAAACATAATACATATAATCCAGTGTCTATAATAAGTTTTTATAAATTCTAGGTTACAGCAAAATTTATTACAACTTCCAAATTATTATAAAGTCATATTATGTCCATAAATAATGGCTAAATATAATTGTTCTGTTTTATATTAGTTTAGTCGAGTGTATTTTAAAATAAATTTTGCTTTTTATCTCTAATGTCAAATAGGTATATATAATGTTCAAAATTAAAAACGAATAAAAATAAGGAATTAAAAGTATATATCCTTTGAATTTCGACAAATTATACTATTTCTTAAGATTATATACCTAATTATTGAAAATTATTTATAAAAATTTAACCCAAATTTGTAAATGTATATAATATATTAATTTAATATGATATTTAGCAGTATGTTATTCTATACCGAAAAATATTTAATATTTTAAGCTCTATTTGAACAGTCAATTTTATTCAATTTGGTTTTTGAGAACAATTTTATTTTGTTTTTTATAATAAACACCTACTATTATTAGTTATTATTCATTGATTATTATTCATTGTTGATTATAAGAACCTTTACAACACATTTACGGATATCTGTCTTTATTTTAAATTAAAATTGAACAGTTCATTTAAACTCATAATTTGTATAAGATAATGTATTGATCTTATAGATACATTATTCAGTTTTATACTTATAGGTATTAAATATAATATGGTTTGTTTCGTATCTGTATTAAAAAAGCAGAAAATACTACATTTTTTTTTCAATTAAATTATAATAGTGATATAATTTTGTTTGATACATTATTTAAAATACAAGTGTGCCAATATAGAATTTATACTACACCTTTAGATTTGAATATATAATTGGTGTCCTGCCAATAGGTTTTTTAGATTCAAGTTCAATCAATACATTATTATTATTATTATTATTTATTTATTTATTTACGGATAAGAACCCAATTACAAAACATTATTAATATATATAAACAGAAATATTCCTATTATATAGATTGGATAGATCTATAAACACTAACCTTTATATTTTCAAATGTCTATCATAGGCACTTAATAAAACCATACAAAAAACTCGGGATAGGACAGGATAACCACATAAAAAATATCAAAATTAAATATAGTCAAAAATATTATGAGCATAATAGGTATACCCATAATAGCAACATCGGGAAATCTATTATATAATATTAATGGCCAGTCTTATGTTCCTAATGCAAATCCGCTGGGCACAAAAATTTGCACACATATCCTTATAGGCTCTTGGACGGGAATTTTCATCCCGGGATTTAACAGTAAATGTTGATACCCATATACATTTTGTTTCAGTTCACGAAAATTGAATATTTTTTGTATATACATATAGGATTGCTATTGGTTACAGCAAATAAAATAGTTATTCAAAATCATAATACTGACAAAATCTCATAAGTACATATTATCATAATTATTAAAATATATATAATATTTAAAACGGCTTAGAAATTACTGAACCAATTTCACCAATTATTGAACACATATTCTTTGAGCCTCGCTGCAGGGAGTGTTCATTATTTCGTTTTTAAACTCCTAAATATTTTTCTCACACAGGAATTTGGTTTTGCCTAACGAAAAATTACCATATTTTCATTTATATTTAAGTAGCCACCGGTAACAGAATTTTTTTTAAATAAAATAAATTAATATTTAATTTACCAAGAGCAAACCTCAGTCGGATTTCCCGTGAACCGAAGAACACTATAATCCCGAGATAGATCTAAACAGCACCGTATTTAATAATTGTTCATTTTATTCGCGGAAAAAGTGGTTATACTCTTATACAGCTAGTATAATATAAATTATACGAAATTTGTAGAGTAAATTGATTTCTTATTTTATCTTATTATTAACTTAGATTATCATCAACACGTATCCACATTATTCCTTATTTTGAGCTCTGCAGAACGGAATGACGAAACCTTGTTTTAGAAAAATTACCAGCAGTGAAAATCCTAAAAAGTTGTATGCATTACTATCCGTATATACATATACCTACATAGTACATACACAATATTTTATCTAACCAAACCTTACCTTAATTTCAATATTTTATTAAGTACAGTGATTTAGTACAGCTTTTATAGTCACAGTAAAATAAATCATTAAATGCATTAATCTTAAAAATACTATATCTACAATAAAAATGTATTTCATACAATAATAATTTAATTAAAAAAATTAGTTTGGCTCTACTTTCAGAACCTTTGATACAATATGATTTAGTTAATACCAAATTTTTTTTACTAGACAATTTCTTATTTCACCTTGGTTTAAGATCAACTTAAATAATAATACCAATTCTATTATGTCCATGATGTAAGTATAAATTTTAATAAAATATCATAGATTCATTATTTATACATTAAATGTATTATTATTTATAAATGTATAATAATTAATAGTATATCATATCCTAAACTTTGTAATGTGCACTGAATAATAATTAGTAATCAATAAAAATAATCTACCTAATAATTATCAAATAATTAACGGTGATAATCTAAAACCGTGGGTGATTATGTCAAACAATATTATGAAATATTATATAGGTACCTACCTTTAATGTCGTGTAATTTATTTTGAATAAAACGGTTTTGGTAGGTTTTGTATCTATTTACTTTCCGGACGTCCCTCGTAGTAATAATATATATCCATCAGTATCTAATCAATAAAAATGACACATCTTATTATTAGATATCATTACTTTTGTATCAAAGTCTAAGTGCAATATTTGAATACTTATTAGTTACAACTTACAATTATTATTTAGGTATTAGGTACATAAAAAAATGTGAAATATAATATTTATAGATAACTAACTATTGTTTAATACCACGTGTAGCTAAAACGGTGTTGTATTTTTCCAATTTGATGGATATTTGATAGATTTTTTATGACGGCATTTAATGCACAAATTTGTTCATTACCTAGGTACCTATAATTAATTGAGGTATCTAAGTATCTTCCCTATTAGAAGGCTTATTTCATAGTCTTACACATGTTTAATTTAAGATTACCTACCTACCTACTAAAAATGTTCTTACTATTTCGTAATCGTAAATATAATTTGAATATGAACAAGTAAGATGTGTTTTAATTAGTGAAGAGTCTGGAGTGGTCATGACTGCCTAAACCCACTTTCCTTATATCCGGATGTGGTAATTGTATTATACAATATGTATTTTTAATCTTGACAAACGTCATTATTCGTAAATATAGGTAGAAATAGTAATTATTTTAGAAAACAAAACATGGTTGTTTTTAATATGTGTAGTTATTATACCTACTGTCCAACTACCGTTTATTGTATACTATTTTATTTTACTTCAAATTATTTATTTTTAACATAAACTTGTCATTTTCGTATTAAATTTATTTAGATTTTTAGTATCAGTATTTAAGTTATTTAAGTTTTATCAAAAAATTCATTTTAGCAATAAATTTCAAAATATTATATTTATCATATTTTCGTATCATAACAAAAATAGCTGCCAAAAAATAACACTTGGAAATGAAGACTATTCACAAATAATTTTAAGACTCAGATATTAGAATTTAAAAATGTATTTGGTTATTTTTATCTGCGTTTAAAGAAAAGAAAATGTTGTTTTAGTTTTAAATATATAGGTGTAGCCAGGCTGCAGATATTGTTCGTATTTTTTTTTTTACTTTTTACTGGGTAAACTGCCTTAAACTACCTACCTACCCAAACCAATATTTAAAATATTAAAATTAATATTATATGACTGTAGCAGTGTACCTATAATTCTACTTAATATGCAATACAAAATTAGATTAAAACAGTTGAGTATAAACATGATAATAATCTAAGAGTTTCATCAATGATGTACATTAATTAATAGTAGGTATTAAATAATGAAATTTATGTGAAATTATGGTGATTGTAAATAATAAAAAAAAATGTATCTGTCCACAGCATGTTTAGAAACTGTATCGAGTACAAATATACAAGCAATTAAATCAACTTCTCATCAATCATATTTATCACCAGACAGAAAAAGACTGGATGCAGTGGCCAACAGTCAAGAACATCCAAAACTTTCTGGAGTTGGAGCCGCATTAGAAATGAAACATTTATGGGAAGAGTTTAACGAGCTCGGTACAGAAATGATCGTCACCAAAGCTGGCAGGTAAATATACAACTATGTTAAAATAAATATACTTAAGTTAATTTGTATTAATACTAATATATATATATATACTAGCTGATCCCGTGCACTTCGTTGCCCTTAAAAATTTGTGATTGTATTTGAGCGTATTCTCTCTGACTTGCAAACGAATTTTCAGTTTCTGATTGAGATTCTCCATGACGACGTATTTTTATTGCCCTAGCCTGTGAACTATTTCTAGAAAGTTGAGATCTTGTTCTTTCGGGCATTTTAAAATGAGAAAAAAAACTAAACAGTAATGTAATGTATTGTTTATACACACGCCGCCATGATGCCGATAACGGTCGTACATCACAGTCGTAGGCATTACGGACATATTATACTAACTATTTCTCCTATGATCAATAGGCAATAGCCACCATTTTCAATAAACAACAACCAATAATTATTATTTATTATTATAATAGCTTTAAAACCCATGGCAACTATTTTTAAACACAAATTTCTATCGTAAATCTCAAAATTCCAGTTTGAGCACCTCCCCTGGGTGATCAATTCACTTTTTAAATTAGCCTATATTCATCAATGATAATGTCGGCTTCTAATGGTAAAACAATTTTTAAAATCTGTCCAGTAGTTTCGGAGCCTATTCAATACAAACAATCAAATCTTTCCTCTTTATAATATTAGTATAGATTATAGTAAATACTATACATATTAATATATTATTATATTTTACTATCATACAATTAATGATATTTTTTATTTTAACTAACAAAGTGTAGGGTAAAATAACTTAACTAAAAGACCGATATACCTTTTTGCTCTGTTCGGAGTTACTAATAACCTAACATTTTTCTGCTGGTAATATTAAAAATTGTATTAGTTGTAAAATGTTCAGGACCAGATGTAGGTACAATATTTATTGAAACATATAAAGTGAAAAAACGTATTTTCCTTATTTAAATTTAATAGAGTCTTCTGATCTAGTCTTGTATATTTATACAATGTTTACTTTAATTTTTATATGATTTTACTGATTTTAGTGAGTTCTTACATGGCATTGATTAATAGATAAATAGGTCCATAATATGAGTTCTAACACGGATTATACATGAAATATATATCTATAAATAATACATTTATATGAAATTATATATAGGGTGAATATTATATAACGTAACTGACTGAAATTACCATTATCCCTTGGCACCTAAATGTTTAAACTCTGACTTCGACTTTAATTCATATTATTTTGTAGACCATTTTTGGCTTTCTTTTAGGGAAATATAATTTTTATATAATATATACCTATATTATAGTACCTATAATTATTTATATGTGATATAAATACACGTTTCTGTATGAATTTAAAAAGAAAACATACAAGTTCTTACATACAATTTTACTTATTTATCTATAACTATTTGTAACTGCTTTTTATGAAACAAATCTAGGTATATTTTCGAATCGTCATATGGACGCCAAAGACCGCAGTGACGAGTGCCAAACACTCGAACTATTGACGCTTAAACTATACTTTTATGTATTATCCCGATGTAAAATATAAATAATTATCTTTTTTCTAATGGAAATCATCTAGCAATATGCGGAATTATGATCTAGAATCTATTATATCCACGATTCACCCAACTATTATATTATGCATACATTTCTGCTTAACTTAAATTAATACAAACATATTTTTGCAAATTATAGAGTACATTAAAATCATAGTTTTGTTCATATATAATTTATAAATATTATTTTTACTTGATAAATCACTTGATATTAGAAATGTTGTTTTATTTCACTTCGGAGACATGAACGAGTGTATCAGAGTTTTCCCAGTGTATCATTATACTTAACAATAGTTCAAAATCTTTAAAATCTTTAAACAATAATATACATAAACAAAAAATATGAGTGTAAAATGTGTAAGTAAACTCAGTAAATATAAATTGATGTTTTACAGAAGAATGTTCCCTACATTCCAAGTCCGATTGTATGGTTTGGATCCAGTAGCAGAATATATGCTCATGATGGATTTCGTTCCTGTAGATGATAAGAGATATAGATACGCATTTCATAGGTAAATATAGATCTATAGTTAGATTTTTAAACATTAAGAGAGATATAATAAATCAAGGACAAAATATTAAGTTAGATTTCTGAATAATGCTTACTTTAAGTACATTTGATGTATTCTTATGGTGCCTAAATGTTATACATTAAATAGTTCAAGCTGGGTGGTCGCTGGTAAATCGGATCCTATATCACCCCCTAGAGTACATATTCATCCAGATTCACCGGCGTCTGGAGGACAGTGGTTGAAACAAGTTGTGTCATTCGATAAACTAAAGTTGACCAACAATCAAATGGACGACAATGGGCATGTATGTAAAAAAATAATAAATGTTTAAACAGTATAGATAGTTGACCATAATAAAATCATTTTTACCCATATAAGTATAAGAATTTCCCTTATTCCACGCCGCTTCAGATCAAATTGTTTTTCTTTACCTATTCGAAAATTGTTTTTACTTAGATTATCCTTAATTCAATGCATCGATACCAACCCAGATTCCATGTACTCTACATTCCAGGAAGAGACGAAGGCTCTTCAAATTCCACAAACAATTTTAAAACATTTATGTTTCCAGAAACCAAATTTACAGCCGTCACTGCTTATCAAAACCACAGGGTAAGATAAATAAAAAATTAATTAACTAATTATAAAACCATTCGAAATACTTCTAAATTATGGATAACGTATTTTATGAAATATTTTAACTTTTTAACTATTATACATTAATCAATTATTATAAATCATTGTATCAGAATGTTTTAGCTCAATGTTTATTTACTTCCTGCACTCTTTATATATTACCAATCAAATGATTTCACTTATAATATAATTACATTAATTTTATACCTTTTTACTTGTTATAACCTTACTATTTTTATTTTCGAAAATACTTACTACCTTCTAAATTTTCTATTACTTGTTACATTTTTCTCACTCACTAAATAGCAATAGTATACGATTTTAAATAGTGTTAATTTTGGATAAAAATGCCTACAAGTACAGTCGTTGAGTTCAATTGAGAAAATAAGAAATATTATATACGATAAATAATAAGTTTAGTTCAAACGAAAATTACAATATATTTCAAGTTCAATTTTTAATCTATAAATGTGCGGATACCTATTTAATACTGGTACCTATAAGAAAAAATATATTTTATTTAACTTTTTTCTTTTTAGATAACACAGTTAAAAATCGCCAGTAATCCATTCGCAAAAGGATTCAGAGACTGCGAGACTGAAGAATGGTAATATCATATTAATATTTTATGCGTTTGCATTTATTTTAATATCTAAATTAAATGGACCATTATAAAAGCTTTGTGTATAATATACATTTGATATATTTATTAGACTAAAGAAGCTACCAGATTATAAATCATGACAGATTTTTTTTTCCATTCTTCATTCCACCCTCTTGGAATGAGCCCAAGCGTTACTAATTGACACCGGTGTGCTATACCGATCTTAAATATACATATTATTATACATACACTAGTAAATTAGTAGTACATTTCAGAAAAAGGTGTACATAACACAAGTCAATTAAAAAAATCCCTGTTGCTGGCAATCATTGTAGGTGTGCTCATGTAAATTGGCACATAAATAGCAATAAATGTCGGTTTATATGATTTTTGGAAAAAAATTTCGTTCTTATTTTATACTCGACACATTGCTTTAAATATGTGAAAGTGTGAAACATGTGTGTGTGGGTGTGTGTATGTGTGTTTAATTGTATTTTTTTTCTGAAGGAAGTTAAAATTATTTTTTATTTTTTTCCATGCAGTGGCCCTATGTCTATTGATAGTGAACCACAAGCCGCCAATAATAAATCGCAATGCAAAAAAAATATCACTGGAATCCATAACAACAATAATTGCGTTCAGTTCCCAAATAAAGAATCAACAGGAAGTTTGGGTATGTTTTTTTTATTTATATTTTGTATATTTTCATTAAGGAATTTAAATATAGATTGATGTTTTACCGACAAAATTAAAATAATGTTTATATTTTAAACGACGTTTTTATAGACCCCATATGTATTTTATAACGCAATAAAACAAAGCTTAATATTATATATAAATTTTAAATTAAATATTATTGTATTACTAAAACTAAATATTAGTTGAAAATAGTATGCGTACATGAGTTGTGGAAGGCAATAATAAAGTATCTAATGCAAACAAATGTTACTTTTTAATTATTACAATGAGCTCTTTGCCTCTTTAAAACAATACAATTTTTAAATCGAAAAATTATCCTTCCAAAGTAAATTAGGTAAATTTTCATGTCTCTCGTATTTTAAATGTATAGTTTTACCATCTTGATAAGTGTTTCAAAAAAACGAAAAACCACAGATCTCTAAACAATTCCGTTAAAACCTTAAAATCTAAAATAAAATATACTGAAGTATAGTTAGATGATATAATATTGATAAATCCCCAATAATTTATATTAGTCGGAGTAAATGAATCTCAGTAGTTCTAGAATGTTTTTACTCTTGTTATATATTTATTTTTAATTTTTAAAAATAGAAATATTTAACGCACCTTTATACCTACTGTAGGTTAAGTTAATGTAATATAGCTGATGTATCCAACTCACTTTTGGTGTACTCTTTAATCGTTTCAAGCTCAACGCCTTCATGTTGAAATTAATGTTTTAGTTTTTTACTCTTAGTTGCTATTTAAATCATGTCCATCGCTTAAAAACATAAAAAACTAAATTTGAAATGACAAAAAAACCTATATTATACCCAGCGTTGTACACAAAATTATGTTGCTTGCACCCGAAAACTGTCATTAATTATCAGAGTTGTCTATGGTAGTCATTTATCATAATATTTTCGGGAAACGTTAAATAGGCATACCACCGCTGACGTTCCGTCGCATTAGCAGTCTCTCGTCTGTTTCTAAACGAGACAATTAAAAAGTATCTCGTGCCTGTGGTAGCTGGCTCTGATTATGTAGAACTGAATAGAAAATTGTAATAATCAACTAAAGTAGAAGAAAAATAGTGTAATTTAATAACAATTTTAAATTTATTTTCAACTATACATATGGAAGATCGATAGTAGATACATTATATCATATCACTGTCTACTTATTTATTCTAATATTGGATAGGCATTATAGCATGTCAACATATTATGTTATCAGTTGTTCCTTACCTATTATTATAATTGTTCGGTACTTCGGTATATTAGTGTATATTTGTTAATTGAAATAGGATTAAATAATATTATGGCTTTATTGAAAACTCGTATTAATTTTATATTAATTGCATTCAACGCTCCTAAAATTAATTATTACTGTTGATTCAATTTGAACAACTTCTAAAAAACATAGGAATTTAATATTTATATCTGACGACTATTTAATGATGATGCATATTATTATCTACAATAAATTCAACTATTTACCTAAATAAAATATGTCATCTAATAATTTATTAAAGTAAAATATTCATGAGATTCTTAAAAATAAAATAAAATCATATAAATATAATATTCCATGTATTTCTATATCTATTTAAAATAGGTAAAAAAAATCTTTGAAATCTATATTCATGGATAGTAAATTAACATATTTAAAGTATATTATAATATAATTTAAGTCAAACAAAATTATTACCATACAAATTTCAAACTTAATTAAATCATTTAGATTGGAAAATAATAATAGTTGGATATTTTTTAAATATTTGTGTATTTTACAAATCTTGGACAATTACAACTTTAACTAATGAAATGTTTAAGTAAAGCGAGCATATAAACTTTTTTTATTAATAAGAGTTTGTCATATTATAGGTTAAATTATTTCTATTCTGTTTTGTGACTGCCGATGGCAGGTGCCAAAATAAAATTATATACGACAAATTAATTTAAATTTGAAAACAGTTGTCACTGCAGCGGTGTGGGTATCGTAGTAAATTTATTACTGTGCCACCCGAACGTTTATCCGAACAAAATAACAAAATAAATTAAATATCATACATAATGTGTATAAGTATAAATAAAAATATCTTTGTAAACTGAGTAGCGACGTCTATGTCAAAATATGTGTGACGCTCGTACCGTTTCCGACAGGAGTCCTCACCACATCCCTCAGTTCATTTTTACAGCCTAATGTATGCCAATAAAATATATACAAATATACCGGTTAAAAATAACGATTTTTTCCTTGATTTGAAAAAAAAAAATCTAAAAATCCTATCAATCTCTTTTCTTAATCCTACACCACTTTGGGCCTCGACTGTATAAGTAATTTGTATTGAAACCAACTGACTGTCAAAGGACTTAAAAAGTTATTTGTCTAATTAGCAAAACTTATATATAAAAACAATAATAAAATCTTCACATAGTAGAATATAACACATATTTTGTCTGAACAAAATACAGTAATGGTGTGTATAGGTGTCTTACAACTATATAATAATAATAGGTATTAATTTATTACATAATACCTATTAATAAAGTGTATATTGAAATATTGTTCATTCATGATTATAAAAAATAATAATTTTTAAATAATTTATTGCGTTAAAATGTTATGATACGAATAAAATGATTGAAAGTATTACTTCATTTTTGAAATGCAGCAGTAATCCTTTGTATTTAATGAAATTATAATATTATGTGAGTATATAACAATATTGTATTCGTTCAAACGGCTGACTAGTCGTCCCTATTAGAATGATAAATGTGCATCATACTGCCTCACAAATCATCGAGGTCACGTAGACGAAAATCCTACTGGATCAGCTAACGCTTAGGAAAAAAATCTACCCATAAAACATCTAGACATACTAATTACGTGTCGTTAACCTAAAAATAAAATTAATGTACCCTTAATATTTATAAATTTAGGATTTATGTTTATAAATAATTTCATTTTTATATTCGAGGAACCTATTTCCAATTTACCATGAAAATATAATATATTTGTACAGAACTTTAAGTCACCTGGTAGAGTTATCCGGTTACTGTGATCTGCAGTAAGTGGGCATATTATAATTTTTTGAGTTCATAATTTCTAACTTTTCACACAGCTGAAAATTGTAATTAAATATTTTTATTAAAAAAATGCATGGCGTATATGGTTATTAATTTGTTACTTAAATAATATATATTATTTTAGTTCATTTTCTAATAATTAAAATAAGAATGAATTATTAGCGTTTGTTTAAAAATAAATTAATACATACCTATTGGATATCTTAAGGCTACGAATGCTAGAGATAGGTACTTAGCTATTTTTTTTTTTTTTTTTATTGCACCATTCTCCCTTAAATTGTAGTGTTCTATTTTTACAATCTTCTGTTGTATTAAATTGAACTAACGAAATAAATAAGTATCCGATATTTTAGAAGTATTTTTATATTCTACTTACGTCGAGCTTTACTGCTGGGTAGCTACTCCCCTAACGCTGTCACAGTCATTGTAAATTCCGCTCATATGCTTATTGTAAATAATATAGTACAGATTGTATATCTTCTAATAAATGTTAAAAAAAAAATAAAAAAAATATTCTACCTAATATCGAGTAGCTTACTTTAAATACGAAAACATTTAAAATATTTTGATGGACAAATGAGAGGTAAACCTTCGTGTGAATAACTCGTAATAATATAGTAAACATTTTTTCAATGAACTTGGAAACCGTACCAACCCATTTTTTCCCATGTGATTACAACGGTTTCGAGTGGTTTCCGATAATCCTAACCGTGGGTACCGATTTTGAATCACTAAACACGTCAACGGAATGCGCTACTTCTATACATTTTTCATCCACTAAAATATAATATTGTAAAGTGGGTAAACGCATGTAGTATCAAGTACAAAAACAACTGATTTCAACACCTTGTTTTCCGTATATCTCACGTAACTTCAGCTGATTACACGCACATGTAATAAACGCAAACAATAAATTGTTTTAAATAAGTATCTAAAATCAACGATTTTATAAATTATAAGTTTTGTTTTTTGTTTATTTATATAATGATATTGGGTTATACGGATTTTGTAGATTTAATTTTTATTTTCGGATCACAATATAATATACCTGATATCATTTTTTCTAGATATAAATAAAATATGTATTCCATATTGTCGTATACATCAAATATTGCAAGCAATGAGATTTCTTTAGTTTATATTTCATATTTTAAACAGTTATTTATTCGTTGCATATTTTTATTTTGTTGTTTATGCATAATATACACTTACATATTTGAATGTTTTAAAATTCGAGCTAAATAATGTGTACCTATGCATTATGCATTATGTGTTTAATGGCTTATATTTTATTTATATATTTTCAATTTGGTCAGCCAGGACAATTTTTATTTTGAATCTGTAAGCAATCAATATATTTCGAAAATGTGTGTATATATTTTTTTTTAATCTTATATAAAATCATACCTAAATACATAAATCGAAGCAGTGGGGTACATGCAATTTGCATTATAAAATATTCAAAAAAGAACAATAATTAAAATAATATTATTATAGTTATGATTCATGAGTTGGTATCTATTATGCTGATAATTTTTTGAGAATATTGATGTAGGTATCTAAATCAAAATTTGAATGAGTAGTTGTTGAGTAACTCTATGTACTAAGCATAGGCGCAATTTCAACTTTTGACTTGGGGGGTTTGAATATATTTAAGGCAGGCAGACCATTGCAATATAGCATTGTAAAATCGTATGTCCTAGGTGGTTTTTTTGGGGGGAGGCTACGGCTAAGTTTAGGAGGCTTATCCCCTCCCCCCAATTTTCGCCTACGGTACTAAGGATAATAATATGTCTAAGTGGCAATAGGTAAAGTAGATATAAGTGCTTAGGTGATTTGAAAATGATAGTAATCAGTAATTACTATAAATTGATCTATCAATATAAATAGTTAGGTAGTAAAAACGTTCCGAGTATAAAAAATATTAGATCATTCGCTAAATAATTTGCAGTAAAAGGGGGAGGGTCCTATTTATAAAAATAGATGTTTGTATCGCCACAGAAGTAGAAAACACTCCTTGAGTGGTACAAAAAATATTAGTAATTTCATTTTGGTGTTAGGTACCTATACTTGGAAAATAAAAATCTAAAGATCAGAATTTGAATAAAAGTTAAAGTGAAAAATAAGTGTGAGCGTGCTTAATGAATCACTCTGTATAAACCCTATAGAAACATAAATATTTAAATTATATTATATATATATATATATTAATATAAGCGTGTGTGTCTTTCTATCCACAGGTGTGATGGAGAACATGTACAACAGCGACAGTTCGTCATCTGCTTCGCCGCCACACATGCCGGCGCACGGTCAACACCAAATGCCTCTGAATGCAACCACAGCGGCTACCACCGCAACCGTACCGGTCACGCCTTACCTGAGTCAAGTGTGCAATTACGGACCAATATTCGCGTCGTCTGCATATGCACATCATAACTACTCGCCGTTTCACGGATTATGACAGGTAATGCTAACGAAATACTGTACTGTACATACCATAATGTTAGAGTTAGATATATCTATTACAGATCCTGTGAGCAAGTTAATGAAAATAATTAACTCGAATTAAGTTAAATTAAGTGAGCACGAGATCGTTAAGTTAGATGATTACTGGATAATGCTTAAATTGAATAAGTGTAAATTTAACACGTTAAAACAATATTAACCTAATTCAGTTTAAAAATAGTTAAGCCAATTTTTTAATTAGTACCTACCTGGATACAATAAACAGATCTATAGGTATATAATATTATTTTATCTAACATAACATAAATTAGCATTAGATTATTTTTATTTAAAACATGATAGTTGTATACAGCAATTAACGTACAAAACCATTGAAACCAACAATTTCAAAAACATTTTCAGTTGTAACTTGATAAATTATTTTAAAACCAACTGAAATAATTAAAAATTAAATTTATACTTCAACAGTCAACTAGACTTTTAAACTATAAAGTTCTTAAGCTAATCAGAAAACTAACTAACTAGTTAGAATAGAAAATTAAAAAAAAATTTACTTTTTAACTACTTATATACTTAATATCATCTTTGATAATATATAAGTAGAGCCAACTGCCAATAGCAGTCCTAAATACTTAGAGGGCTAGAGAATTTCGAAAGGGGGGGGGGGGGTTAAATTTTTTTCAAACAAAATATTTGTTAAATTTATTGGTATAAATCTAGTTAAGCACCCACGTGAATTTTTCATATATTTTTTGGGGAAACCAATGTTACAACCAGTTAAAAATGATGGTGCAAAAATGTATTGTCCGAAATCATCAGATTTATGGTATAGCCTTACAGAGTTCACGATGTTCGGTGTTGTACGCACACTCACAACTCTCATAGTTTACCGAGCTTATAACGAATTTTCAATTTTTTTTTGAAACCTATAGGTAAATCAACTTTTAAAAATTATAGTGCAAAAATAATTCTGACATCAACTCATGGTGGTTTTACATAACAAGTCGAGGGGGGAGGGATGCTTTCGATTTTAATTGTCCGAGGGACCGAGTGACCACGCCGGGTGCTTATGAAAATATCATACATTTCAATTAGCTATATTCAGGGTTGGGCAGTATCAAAGATACATGTATCAAAGATACGTATCAAAGATACAATTGTATCTTGTATCTTGTATCATGATACATAATTTTACAGTATCAAGTATCATGTATCTTGATACATTTTATACTAGTATCATGTATCTTTTTTTGCCAAAAGATACAAGATACTATTATTGTAAAAATAATTTCGTCGCGGATTGTATTTGTACGAAAAATATTGTCCAGGTGCAATCCAGCCGAAATATTAACGATAGCGAAAAAATGTACCACACAATCTTATAAATTTAAGATAATCTGATAAACATAAAATTAAATTAAGGCGCCCGTATGACCGTAGCCCACACGCAGACCGTGTCAATAATCAATAGTCTCATAAAATATGAATCCGCTGCCTAGATATGAGTGTAACCGTTTAGGTATCCACATAAAATAGAAAATAAAATCAAAAGTAAAGATAAGCAATTACAGAATACTATTCACGTTGTTGTACCATTCTATTCGTTCTGTCGTCTGTAGTGTTACTGTGTCACTGTGTCAACTGCCCGTTTACGGGCAATGTGATGTATTAGTTATAAATGTATAATGTGTACCTATTGACTTATTATATTATAATGTGTACAGTGTACCTATTGACTTATTATATTATTTGATATAATTATGACTTTATAAGTATTTATAAATACTATTATTATGTAGGTATAATAATAATATTATGTATTTATTATGTATAGACGGTATAGTGAATTGTGTATAGACGTTTTACGTTTAATAATTAATAAAATTTGATTGGAAATATAAAAGTATCATGTATCTTTGATGTATCAAAGATACATGTATCTTGTATCTTGTATCTTTTCTACATTCACAATGTATCTTGTATCTTGTATCTTGATACACAAAATGTATGTATCATGTATCATGTATCATGATACTTTTTTTTGAGTATCTTGCCCAACCCTGGCTATATTATAGAAAAATTTGGCACTTGACCCAAAAAAGATTCGACACCCTTGAGCTATAACATTAAAATAAGACTAAGGTACATTACAACAAAAAAAAATTGAAGAAAAAGGGGGTTCAGTAAAACAGAAAAGTTCCAAACGGCGCGTGGTAAAATATTGCGTTCTACGAATAGGTAAAACACCAAAAATCGTGAACTTCGTGAGGCTCCAACTTAAAAACTAATGATTAAATTTATTTTTGCAACATTATTCTTAACTCGTTGTAAAATATATTTTTCTTTCAAAAATGTAAAAATTCACGTGAGCACTAAACTAGATTTGTCCCGAATAAATTATTAAAATTATATATGTATAAGTGATACATTATATTATATTATATTTGTAAAGTGTCCATGGGAACCCTCTACCCCCAATCACGCCCATATATATACCTACACTGAAGTGTACCTAGCCGTGAACACTGAAGTGACTATATTATAGTATCATCTGGTCCTGTAACCAGTGATTAGTCCTGAAAGCCCAAAGTAGTAGGTAATGCTACATATCAATGTCTCCACCGCTGACCTGTATATTAAAGCTACTACAGCTTGTACTTACGACAGTTTTACAGCCACCTCGCCCACATTGCATATAGACGAATATTGACTACCTATAGTGATTTAGTAAAATATTGTAAAAGACCAATGGGAATAAATGAACTCAGTTGATAAATGGCTACCAAAGACAATAAAAAGGGGTCAAAATTAGCGTTGGAATCACTGTAGCGTTGAAGAGCGTTACGGTGGCGCTCGCCGATTGTCTATATATATATACCTAATATAAATATATATACAAATCGTAGTATATTATAATAATATTGTCACTGTCGGACTGACATATGAACTCTAATTATACGTCACAAGTCAAATGTACCGTGCGAACAAAATAATTGTGTCTATTAGTATACACAAAACAGTATATAGAGTAGGTACATCTTTAACTCTTAGAACTCTAACTTGTAAGTAGTATATAAGGACATGCAGTTAATTGGACCGTTGAAGCTGGTTTGTAAATGTAACCACATTTGCATTCGTAAATAAAATAGTACTATATTGCACGTGCAATGGATTTAGAAATTATTTTCATAAATTGATATTAAAAAAAAAAAAAAATTTGTTACAAAATATGTAATAATTAAGTGTTTTATTTTATTGCAATATAATATACAAAATAAATATTTACATAATACATTTAAATATAATTCATATCAAACAGTTTAATACTTTAAAAGGTACCTAAAAAAAACGGTATTGGTATTGATCCCCCCCTTAGTTAATTCATTACAATCTAAATGTTATTGGTTTGCGCATAAAAGGCATCTTTTATAAAGTAAAATAAATTATAGTAACAAAATATTACTACCCGTTAATGCCAATATGATAATATAATTTGTTTTTTTATTCCTATGCCAATGTAGACTACATCAAAAGAACTCTAACACTGAGATAACGACCGGATACCACATGTCTTACCAGCATCATTACCACCATAGACCTTCCACGTTTCATGGAGCTCAAAAAACATCCAACACATATTTGCAAAATGATTACGCGCCCAGGTAGAACGCGTTCTCTTACAGTAACTAATTAGAGTAATATCTATCCTTATCAATGTACATATATTATGTATAGGTATTTGTAATTATTAAGTTGTATAAAATCAATTTAGATGGAATTAAAATGTGTACCTATATATATTCATAAATTATAAATCGGGATTGTATACTTACGTAAATACGACGTAGAAAATTATAACGTCTAATGAATTTCATTTTAATTACTACAATTAAACTTTGTTTAAAAAAAAATTGTTTAAAACTGTTAATAAAACAGAAAAGACACAAAATATGACGATCGTTTGAACATTTAATTAATAATAATTAATAGTTTTAACTACCTACTATAAATTATATAGGTTATTTATAACTAGGTATAAGATTAAGTAAGTTCCAGATTTCAAACTATATATTTTTTCTATCGTGTTATTATTATAATTAAATTATTAGTGTAGTATAGATAATGATAATATAATTATATGAACGTTAATGATATAATATTGTAATAATATATAATAGTTTATTTTTGTAATTTATTCGTATTGCATCAAGACGGTCGTAAGATCGTCACAAATTTTGCAACTATGATTTCTTCATAATATTCTGTTGAGCTCGAGTGTTCAACTTCAGCAACAGAGACATTTTACTATTAAGATATTACAATTCGAGATATCTTCGAAATAGGATTGTAATATTATACCACACGTATATTATTGAAACGAAATAGGAATTATAGGTATACTGCAGCGTATGGTCCCGATCGATGGTTTCGTTTCTGGTTAGAATGTTAGATTACCTTTGGAATACAAAATACAAGAAACATGCGTCGAGTCTTGAACACCCTCATAACATCTTCCACGTAAATGTGTTGCAATGACTGATGGCGGGTGGGTGCAGAGGTCGCGTGTGCCTGTTCCCGATACCACCCGTGTGTTCCCCGCAGCCCATTAAGGGGTAGAAATCACTCTACCTCTGTCCCTGCACAGCCGTTGGAGTCTAAACGATTTTTACAAGACGACGGTTTTGGTTTCCGTGCACCGACGTTTAATCATTATCGAGGTCGTCAGGGACTCAAAACATAACATCGTCCCGTGACTATTTATTTTAATTTCGGAGATTTATTTTCACGTAAACATTAGGTTCAAGAAAAAATATCAATCAATTCAAACTCAAATATACCACCATATAAGCTTATACAGTAGAACCTACAGTAACTTATGTATATATTTTTTTCCACTCAAGTCAAAAGATTAATTCAGTTACCGTATTCTATTTCGTTTTCATTCAAAATTCCTATTGAAAACATAGTCACTGCAATGTTTTACTATCGTTAGGT